AAACTCACATGTGATGAGTGGTAAACTGAACGCAGACTTGTTAGGTGATAACTTCGATTTTACGAACTGTTTCAACTTACTTAGATCAAAGTTATTGATAGGAGAGAGCGAGGATTTGATTTTACTGGCGATTGATGTAAAGTGAATATTGAAAGCTTCGGCTATTTCACGACTATTCCTTAACACTTTATTGCATTCACCAATGAGGAATTCTGGCAGGCGCGATGGCTTATTATTACCACCAAGAGATTTAATCAATTTCCAAATGGACTTTACGTTGCCTTTGTTATTTTGAATGGAAGATTTGAAATAATTTCTTTTAGCTTTTTCGATCATGTTTGAAGCTAAATTTCTTGCGATACGGTATTGTTTCCATGCATTGGTTGAATTAGTTTCAGATTTTCTAGCTTTTGAAAGCAGGTTATCTCTAATCTTTAACTGATTAAGGATGTCACCATTAATCCACTGAGGCTGCTTAGACTTGGCAATACGTTTTTGTTTTGTTGGGGCATGTTGGTCGATTGCTTGAAAAAATATACCTTCCCATGTGGCGAGAACATCATTAATATCATCAAATACGAAGGCCGTGTCCCAAGGGGAGTTTGCTAACGTGTTTTTGAATGCAGATGTATTAAGATTCTTTAGGTCTCTGTAAGTTATTGAATCATGAGAGTTAGTTGATTTAGACTGCTTGAAATATTTACGAACAGCAAACGTTGGTAGATGATCAGAAAGAGCATAGTTTTCCACTAGTGCTGCGGTGATATGCTGACATTTGTTAGTATAGATGTGATCTAAACAAGTACCACTTGAAGGTCGAGTTACATCAGATACCAACTGAGAGAAATGCATGTTCATTAAACTTTTTGACAAGTAGTGTTTCTTGAATTCTTGTGAAAGAAAGTTGATGTTAAAATCACCTGTTAGTATAACTTCTTTATTAGTCAAGTAGGCGGTTTCAATACACTGATCAAATAGTTTATCATCATCTCTAGAGTATGATGGTGGACGGTAACAGCCAGATATCAGCAGCGAGCGTTTGGACTTGAATGGGCAGATTTCGAGCCATAAAATCTCGACAGAATCATATTCAAGGTCGACGCGGCGATTAAAGGTTAATGCATTACTACAATACACAGCTATACCTCCTCCAGCTTTATGTAAACGATCTTTTCGCAGTAGAGTAAAACCAGGTATATTGTAGAGGGAGTCGCAGTTTGAAGGTTTTAGAAACGTTTCCGTCAAAAACAAAATATCAATACAATCTGAGTTCGTTGTGAGGAGAAGTTTAATTTGTTCAAATTTACTGCTAGTTAAATGGTTTACATTCCACTGACCAAAACGGAGTCCTTTATTGGGAAGATGTAACTTTAAATAGCTAAAGTTATTAGAGTCCTGCTGATTACTGATTACATCATGATCTTCAGATGTACTTTCGGAGGTCAAATCAAATTCTAAGGTTGTGTTGCCGGTTGAAGAGTTGAAGCTGCAGTTAGATGATGAAAAACACTCATCACAAATCCAGTCTAGGAACTCGCCACTGGTTGCTTGATCAGAGGAGACGCACGAGGTGTGGTAATACGAATCACAGTAAGAGCAGAATATTGGATCTACTTCCCATAATATAACCGCTTGGCAGGAGTGACATGTTGGATTAGGCAGATTAGGATGGTGGGAGTGAGTCGACAAATTTCCAGCATTGATGGGCCCTGGATTTAGTAAAACAGCGACATCACCAGATCTTTGTAAGATAATAGCAGCTAGAGAATACTTTAATAAACAAATAATCTTGCTTCCGACAACAACCATTGACAATGAGTTACTTTTTCTAGGTACTTTAGCAACAGAAAGATGGGGATGTTTGAGTTGCCAAGAGTTCTCCATTTGGCGACCCACAAAAATATTTAAATCATTACTTTGATATAGTAATGGATGACTTTCACAGCTATTTATACAACATATATTGATTTGTTGAATCAGGAGGATAAGTAGAAGTGTCTGCCAAAAGTGATCACTTAATGCCATATTACTTAGGCTCAGAGTAATAATGGTTAATCACCAGTTGTTGAGTTGGAGTCAAAGGTCAAGTAGATTAGCTATCATACACCGTAATCCCAATAGGTTGTTGCTAAGAAACACAACGACGGGCAAAATTTAAATTTGAAAGTTCAAACGGTCAAAATAATAAAAAGGACAATAAATCACGAACTGTACATCTAAATGACACGAAATTCACACACGAGAACAGTAACACAAATAATAGTCCAATGTTAAAGTTTCAGAGGAATAGCACCAACTAAGACAAAGATATTGTTAGCGTAAACCAAAAACCAAGATTATAGCGAGCGACACAACAAATATGATACAAGGCAACAACAAATAATCCAAAATAATTCCTTTCGATAAATTTAAACCAATTCCAAAATGCGTCGAGGAAGCGAAGCACGTCTTTAGCTTTAATTTGATAAGTAGACAATTAGTAAAGATTTACAAATGAACACTTTAACCACAAAATAAAACGGAGGTCACTTTGCTCGTCACGTCACGTTAAGCTACCATGTTATGTTTTCATGAAATGAAAATTAATGTCAGAAAATTTATCACAAAACGTAATGCTGTCCTCCCGGCCATCGGTTTGGTGTTTTTATCAGGAGTGGTCTGTCAAAAAGATCTCAACCTATTTGGTAGATGACGTCATTCCTGGAGTAGAAGCCACGTTGCGACTTCAGATTACCTCCAGATTACCTCCTGACGAAGATATTAGAGTGCAGTGTCGAAATGTTTGGTCGTCATGTATAGGCGTATATACGAGACAGAAGGCAGGACCTTTCTGAAAATCACTTTGTGAGAAAGCTTCCTGAAATTAAATATTAATTAAAAAAAAAGGCAGGGGGGTAACTGCCCCCTCTTCCCCCCAAAAATACATTTGGAAAACCATACTTGAGAAATTCGGGAAACGGCGGAAAAATCAAGAAAATTCTGTCAGATTTATCAGAAAATATGTTAAATTCTGGTTATTACATTAGCAAAAACATGATTGAAATAGAATCTAATTACAAATGCAGGGCTTTCAGAATTATTCTGAGTAGGTGTCTGTTTCGATAAAGTAGGAAGCTGTTGGGAGGGGGCGGTCTACAGGGTGTCTAAAGAAAACGCTATGGAAATTAAGCAGGCTGTCGTGCATCATAAACGTGGCTAAACAATTCAATTTTTACATAGGACAAAAGAACAGTTATTTAGCTTTTCAATGATACTCTTTTTAAATCGTAACGATGAGAAATGTCCACATACTCGTCAAATAAAAATTGCTTGTCGAAATCACATTCTTCCACCTTTGGCTTTGGGAATTGCATGGAAAACGAAACATAGACAAATTCCTAAGTGTCAATTGAAATTGAATGTTAAGTTATCTGAAAATGAGCTCAACTCGTCAATCTTCGTCTTAGTGAGACAACACGAAGTCCATTATTGCATTAAACATGGTTCAATTAACCACTGAACAGCGAACATTCGTAGTAATCAAAACGTTTTACGAAAGAAAAATCTTGCAGCAGGCTCGCGTTGCTTTTGGATTAACTTTGCATAATTGATGTATTTTCAATTCCCAACGGTGGAAGAATGTGATTTTGACGTACAACTGATTTTTATTTGACAAGTATGTGGACATTTCTTCAGTATCGTTATGGTTTAATTTAAGAAAGATATCATAAAAATGCTATAAATAACGCCCTTTCGTCCGATGTAAAAATTGAATTGTTTAGCTAAGTTTATGGTGCACGAGAGCAAGTTGAATTGCCATAGCGGCTTTTTTGAGACACCCTGTACATCTATAGGGAGTCTTGCTGCTCAGATAGCAACACAACTGAGCACTGTAACCAAATTATAATGTACTGTATCACTACTTTCATTCTTCAACAAGATGACTTATTTTATTTTGAAAATAACCAAGCTATAAAGTAGGCCAGGTTGATGAAAAATAACTTGACGGCTTAGAGTGGAGGAAGGAGAGCAGAATTAATATTTCAAGTACTAAACAAAGTAACCGGCGGTAAACGTCGTAGCACCCGCCGGAGCTCCCGCGGCCGCCGGCTTATTTTGAAAGCCCTGCAAATGCGCTGCTGCACAAAATACTTTGAATTTATTCAAAGTAGATGTCGCGAAGACTAGTGGTGACTTCAATTTTTTTCTTTCAAGTTTGGGCTAACCAATTCCGCTTCATGCACTCGAATGCCAGAATGCCGTAAGAATCCGTGTCAAAATGGTGCGAATTATGTTCCACTCACACCTACAGATTATACAACGCCTCGTTACAAATGTCTTTGTTCTCCGGGCTACGCAGGAAATCTTTGTCAATATATGGTCAGATCATGTCGTGGTTACATGAATGGTAATCGTGTTCGTGGAAAGTACAAGGTGTTTGACGATGACATGAATCTCTTTGAAATTTTCTGTGATTTTGAGTTAAATACTACCATGACATGGACACTGGTTCAATCGTATGAACAAAGAGTTAGGGACACGTTCAAATTCAAGTCCTACATTGTAGATTTCCCTATACACCAAGATTCTCCAATATGGGATTCGTATCGTCTTTCAAAGTCCAGAATGCAATCCATCCAAGATAACTCCAGTAAATTGCGCGTTACATGCAAATATGATACTGATGGTCTGGTCTACCGTGATTATCTTCAAGTGACAAAGAAAGAAATCGATATTCTAACCTTCAAAAACAAGACACAGTGTCCTTTAGTCGAACTGATTGATGTTCGAGGTCAGAGCTGTTCCAACTGCACTGCATCTCTAGCTCAATGGGATTATATATTACACAGTGATTCCTTTTACGCCGCGAATAGAAGCTGTCAATTTCGGCCTACTGGGGGTAAACGTTGTACAGGACTTACAGGCACGTACACAGAAGACAATTTTGGTTACTATGGTTGTATTAATACGGCACACCGATGTTCATCCTCTGAGGCAGCTACAACTCAAACCTGGCTTGGTTCTAATTAATGACTAGACCGGATTTCAAAAGAAAGCCTTTTCAATCCGACTCCGAGACAATTAGAGACTGATTCTGCCAAATTATTACTTCAAATATGTAGTTAAACATTTAGTGATACAGACAGTTCATGCGAGAAGTGAGTAACCTATACAGCTTGTAGTACAAAGAAGTTCTAATATGGCCACTAGGTTGACAATACCGCTAAATTTGTGCGGACAACTTTGTATTAGTGTTGGTAGGTTGGAGTCTTCTGGTAGAACAAAATTACTACGAGAAGTAAATTTTCGAGGGTAGGTGTTTTTCACGTCGCTATGGTAAGCTATCCGGTACACGTAGGCTAAAACATGGATTTTTTAATTATTAGACTTTCACGCATAATTTGTCACACACATGACTGATTTTATACACAATTGATTTTATGCATGCATGATTGATTTCTTACATTTTCTTTACAAAAAGTTTAAAAAAGGTCAAATATTATGCGTGGAAGGTTACTGTGGCACAAAAAGTCCAAGTTTATAGAGGTCGCGCGTCAGACTTAATGCACATCAAATTTTATGGTATTTTGATTGTTGAAAAACACCTTCTAAAAGTAAAGTCATTCTTAAAGTGATTTTAAAAACTTGCAGCCCTAAACTGCACTCGAAAATTTACTTCTCAGAATAGTTTTGTGATTGAGATACCAGAAGACCCCCAAACTACCCATACTAACATAAAGTTGTCAATGAGTTGAGCATGTATCCTTTGGATCATTATTTGGATTGGCAGGGCAAATCATCTGGATTGGCAGGGCAATGAAATATTTTAAATGATAGAATGTAGAGTTATTAAGCAGTTTCCAGGGCTTCCAGAGGGAATTGAATAGAATTTATAGACCTAAATTTTACAGATATTGGTAAAAAAATAAGGGTTTCATGCATGCTTTAACAGGAATATGTCCGAAAAAAAATTTTTGACCCTTAATTTAATTGGTTTATGTCCAGAAAAATTTTTTCGCCCCTTTTTTGAACGTCCGAAAAAAAATGTTTCGACCTCCCCCCCCCCC